CAGTTATAATCTATAATATAATTTGATTTAATTCATAATTATTAGCAATGATATTTAGTTTTTTTAAGATATGTTTATTTTTATTCTTCATCATTGTTCATTATTCATCTAAATTCACCTTATCAATAGATGAATATAGTCGATGATAAATATAATTCTGACTCATCATCATTTACGCAATTATTACATTTTATTTCACGTAATATGTCAAAAGCACAGACAATATTCATTAAAAACAACAGGAAACATCTGTGCAAGATATTTTCAATTTTATAAATTACAAAAAAAAGAATAACGACAAAAACGTGCCGGATGGACAATCATCATTTGAGAATGACATTGAACTCATTGGATTCTTTTGTTTTGTTTTCTGATTCAAATGAAGTAAAGCATGTGAAAGAGTATTTTGAAAAAAAAACGCTTGAGAGAAAGTCTGATTTTACAAGTAAACTCCTTTCATTATCGGACTTATATATTGTCGTTGTCGTTGAGAACGAATGTAATGATTTCGATCAATAAGAATAAGTTGCTGCTGATGATGATAATGTGCATGTTTATCTGAATTCGCACTCATTGTACACGATATATGGAAGTCTTTCAATACCCATATACTACAAAGAAGTTTACGACATTCATTACGAAATGATCGACCAGTTACACAATAAAGTACAAAATTAGCCTAAAAATAGAAACATGAAATTTTCTTTTTTTTCTGAAAAAAGAAATCTTTTATTTGTTATTACTGTATGATTAAAATACATTAATAATGTTAAACAAAGTTGTGTTATTTGCCAACGTTCAGTTGTTTTTTGTGAAGGTAAATAATCTACTACTAATAAACGTATTGATATTGGCAATGTACAAATAACAAATATAAATGATACAATTAATAATAAACATGTTAAACGTATTCCAGTTGTATTTGTTGGATCAAATAAATTTTTTTGATTTTTTTTTTGTTTATTAATAGGTTCATTAAATATATTATTTCTAGGAATATGAGAAATACGTTGTTTATGTATTTGACTTGATGAGCGACCGGCCGGAACTGATTCTTAAAAAAGAATAAAAACAAAATGTTTGATAATTTGTTGCTATATTTTTTTCTTCGAGAAAGATTTATGATGCTTGTCATGAAAAAGGAAAGTTTCATCAAATAGTTGTCATTTGTACTCCATTATATTTTACAATTTACTCGATTTTTTTCTCATTCATCTATATATATCGATTGATAAGATATTATAGAGATAATTTTCTGGTGAAATCTTCGCATTATATATAGTATTAGCTTTGGAATATAGTATTTTTAGATTCAGAAGAAATCGAAATCAACAAGGAGGGCATCATTGATCCGGAACGTCAATTTCATAAATATGCATTTCAATAAATTATTATCTTATTAACAAGACAAAACATGTATTCTATATGTGATAATATTCAATTGTCTAAAAATAATATTCTGACTTGTGAAATCTCTGTTTTTTTTATAATGAATATAGATAGAAAATAGATTGCATGTAAGAGTATGAAAGACGTAGTTTCTTTTAATTACAGGCAAATTAAATAATGATGATAAGATCTTATTGCTTCAAAGCATTCTGAGTTGAAGAATAGATTAAGATAACTTTTGTGAGAAAACAAATCGCCCAAGGAACATCTACATTATATATTTAGCCATAAATAGAGCGAAATACTAATATGATTCTTATGTTTAAAGCTCGGAAATTACTCTAACAACTATTATATTTATCATTATTGATAAAAACATACTAAATACAGAGGGCACAGAGTCCTCTGATAATAATTTGACAGACAATTAATGCAATAAAACCTTTGTAAATATTTTAATTAAGTATTTTAGATGCCAATCACACGAATAAAATAATTGGCATCTGTTTTTAAATGAAGTCAATTAAAAATTGTCTTATAATTAGCAAAAACAAAATACTTGAAAACTAACCTGCTGATCGACTACGTAAAAATTGTGTACGCATTGTTGATGAACTTTTATTTTTATTTCGTTGAGATGTATTTGTTGTTTGTATATAACTATTTGCTTGTAAATAATCACGTCGTTTTTTTATAGCATGATAAATAGTCAATATAATTAATATATTAAATATTAGTATTAATATTGATGGTAGAATACTATAGAAACATAAATCAATAAACGCTAATAATTTTCTTTGTGTATCAAGATCACAGACAGTATAATTTGGATGATAACCTTCATCTGTTTGTAAATGAACATGAATTAAATCCATTGTAAAAAAATAATGTGTTGCATATAATGAAAAAAATAAGAATATTATTATAGCTACTGTATATGCTACATGCATACGACATATACGGATAGATTGAAATGGATATCGTACAACCATAAAACGTTCAAATGTAACAGCAACAATAAGCCAAGCTGATATATAAGTAAATAAATGTTGAATATAGAAAGCTAAACGACAAAGAAAACTTGAATGTAATTGTGGATGATAATTAAATGCAATGTCAAGCATATATAAAAGACAACCAGTATAAAGTATGCATATATCAATAATAGCTAATAATGCTAAATAAAAATAAGATGAAAGCCCCCGTCGTGAACGACGGAACATAATAGTTGCTGATAAAGCATTACCAATAAGACCAAATACAAGAAATAATATTAATATTATTGTTACCGTCCATTTTTTTAAACCTTGTGCAATAGGATATGGTTTTGGTTCACAATATGGTGAACGTAATGAACTAATATGTTCTTCAACTGTTCTATTTTGTAAATCAAATTCTGATACATTTAAATCTTTTATAAATTCATCAATATCTTTACATGATATTGAACTAAGTATTTGTACCATATTTGATGTCATTTGTGACGTATCCATTATAGAATTCCAAATGAATAGGAAATTTTTAGTTGTTGCTTTTATTTTCTTTCAATAATCTAAAAGATAAAAGTTAATAATTTATATTAAGGAAATTTGAAAGACAAAAATGTCACTTTGTTCTTATGAATTGAGGGTGTTCATAATATTTATATTCATAGGTTCTCTTGTTTTTGTATTCTACTGAAGCATAAAAATTTCTTTAAAAAAGAGACATTCTATCTAACATATGTTCCTCATTTTATGAAAAGTATCTCAAATGATATTCTTTATTTGTTTGGTAGAAATACGATCTAAATGTAATTGATCTTTTATAACTAAGTGATCAATGAAATAAAAGAAACAAAAAATGAAAAGAACATTGATACATCTTATACGTACATTTGTAAAAGAAGAAATGTAAAAACATGAGAAAAATTTTTGGCTATAAATATAAGAGATTGATATGAAATAGAAAAAAAGAAGAAAAGAAAAAAAAACGTCGGTTTGTATATGTTTGTGCAATAACACAAATTTACTTGCTGTGCATTTCCTCAATTTATCTATGTACACATTTAGCGGCATTAAAATACTGGAAAGTGTGTTTACACAACTAGAAAAAAAGCCTAAGAAAACAATCGTTAGTACGATATGAATGGCAATATGATGATGATGATAGTGATAGTAATGGCAATTGCAGTATGCTTATCATTAAAGACTGATTAAACAATATCTCAAATAAATATAGCCTTGAAATATTGATTATTTAAGAAACTGATGAAGTCGGATGCCTTAAAATATTTATAAATGTAAAACATACGACTTTTTTAATAATTGTTTAAAGTTTAGTTGAGATAAAACAGAACTGTTAAGTAACACTAGGAAAAAAAGGCGAAATACGAGACATAATTATTATAAAAGACGCATTGAAGAGAAAAAAAAAAAGAAAAAGGTCTTAAGAGAGTAAATAGCAGTCTACATTGCAAACAGATTTGTCTTTGAATACTTTTTTTTTCTCTTTAGATGTCTCGCAACTAGTCTTAATAATTGGCAAACTTCTTCTCCTTACAGCAAGTAGCCACTTGCAAAAAATCATTCATAATTCAGTTGCAAAAGTTTGACAAATACTTGTTGAGTTTTTTGTTTAGATGCCATTGATACATATCATCTATATTAATGACATCAACTAAATAACTATAAAGAAAAAGAGTATTATTATATATGTTTTTTTACAAAGAAAGTGTTTAGCTTATGTTTAATGTTTCACGACGAAGTATGTCTTATCTATATAGACATGCAACATATGAACCTACACTTGGAAAAAAAATTTTTCATTATATTACAGATCTAATGAAGATAGACATTTCAATCATGAATGAAATTATGTGAATGACAGCATGAAGTAGTAACTGCTACTGGTTTTGTTTTGACATGTCATCACGTTTCCGCATAAAGTCTAATCTTTATTGGTTCTCATCTTAATAATTCTGACGCTATTATTGTTGATCAATAGAAGATTATTAAGAGTATTTTACAAAAGCAACTTTCAATAAAAAGAATGAAAAGAGTAGAAACTGAGAAAAAATATTTATTTCTTATCATTTTATTGAAATATACTACAAAAAAATTAGTCCTCCATATCATTAATTCTTTGCATTTGTTTCTAAATAGGATTAAATTTAAAATTATCTATATTTTGTTTTATTAACCATAAAAAAAAGTAAATTATGTGTAATAATTGTATAATTCCAGCTTTAATCAGATGATCTTTCTTAAATGCAATGAAAAATATTCGTATCGTATTTTATTTGTTATGAATTACTCATTTTAAAAAGAAAGACACTTAAAAAAAATGCTTTTTTTTTTGTTTCTGCAGATTCTGCAGTTACTAAGGAAGGTACATGTAAAATTGTAACAACAGTGAATTTCGATAGGCTTCCAACGACAAACAGTTCATGTGGAGAGCAGTATGTACAACATAGAATTTATTAGTGTGACGTACATATAGAATCAACATTGGTGATGAAAAAAAAGAAAGTAAAAGAAAAATGACTTTTTTATATGAATTAACGTCATACTTTTTTTTATATTTAAAAGAGCACTGACAAAAATTTCGAATAAACAAATAAAGAATTCAAAATGAATCGTGTTGCACTTGCTGCTCAAGCTAATGAACTCTTCGGCAATGATATAATGAATCCACAACATAAACTCAAATGGATGGATAAGCCCGCTGGTGATCCAAGTCCACTTTCTTTTTTAAAACCATTAGATTCATTATTAGTTAAACAAGTTGTTTCCATATCTGAATGTATATTACAAATAGATATGATAATTAATTTATATCTATTAAAATTTTGTTTGTTTTTATCTTCCTAGTTATGTTGTCAATGTCACCTCAAGCAAAATATGGAATTTTTAATAATAAAGGCGAACAAGTTTATTACGCATTTGAAGGTAAACATTTTAATTATAATCTTTTCTTAAAAGAGAAGAAAAAAAAATCATATTATTTAGAAAGCGATATTTGTCAACGTATATACTGTCCAGGAACTCGTCAATTTGATCTTCATATTGTTGATAGTACAAATCAAGTATGTGTAGATAAAATGTTCTCAATTAATTTTTTGCACTATTCTTAGGAAATAATTCGTGTTAGACGTGAATTTAAATGTTGTGCAGGACATGTTTGGTATGCTTGCTGTGAAGCATGTCGTCATGAAATAGTTGTTGAATCTCCTCCTGGTACTGTAATTGGTTATGTTACTCAGGAGTATGTTTACGAAGAAGAAAACAAAAAATTAAAATTTCATCAATATCTTTTTGTCTTTGTAGATGTAGTTTTCACCGTGTGCATTACGTTCTTAAAAATGCAAATGATGATGTTGTATTGAAAATTGTTGGTCCAAGATATATGTGCGATGGACCATACGCTTGTTGTTGTGAAAATAAATTTACTGTTAGTAATCATTATTTCTTAATTAACATACTAAGAACTTCTTTTTGTAGCTACTTGGTAATGATGGTGAAGCAGAAATAGGATCCATTTATAAAAAATATCGAGGATATCTTGCTGAAGCATTGACTAGTGCTGATACATTCACTATTCACTGTATGAAAATATTTCCTTACTAAAAAAGAACTTAAACATATTTCTTTATAGTTCCAATTGATTTGGATGTTCAAATGAAAGCAGTTGCACTAAGTGCTTTATTTTTAATTGTAAGATTAATTTTATTGATTCTATTTCTATTATCTTTGTACTATAGGATTTTGCTCATTTTTCTGAAGCACCTCAACGTCGTGGGCGATAATATTCATATTGATAATCAAGTAGAATATCTGGAACTTTCCAAATTTAATGATTATATATATACATTGGCTTTTTTTTGTCTTTATTTGCATAAAATAATTTTTGTATCGTGTCCTTACTACTAACAACTCTTGCCTGAATAAAAAGAGTTCGTTTGTCAAGAATATTTAGAAAAAAAAAACAAATCTTGTTTTTCTTTTACATTGATGACATATGTTTTTACAAGGATAACATTTCAAACAAAAGAAAAGAAACAAATGATCTACTAATTCAGATTTAGATATTATTCATTTTTAATCATTCTTATAATATTTATCATGATCACCAAAATCATGTTTTTTTCCGCTTGCAAAAATACACTATCTGCATTCATTCAGGAAGAAACATTTTTAAAGAAGATTGCAAAATATAATATGAATATAAGGAAATATAATCTGTAATAGCGCATTGATAGATGAAGTTTGTATGCATGACAACGTCTTTTTGATGCAGATAAGATTGATTTTTTTCTCATTACATTTCTGAATAAGAATAGAAATATCAAAAAAACAAGAAAAAAACCATGAAAGCAAAGAAATGAGTTATTATATAAAAAATTTATCCATAAACATTGATTGATTTTATTAATATAATCAATAATAAATAATATTCTATTATAAATCTAAGTTATTGAATTATAGAATTTTACTCAAATGTGTTTAAATCTTTTGATACGAAATTATTTATGCAAAGAAATTTTTCAAATATTTCCTACTAAATCATAATAAAAATTATACACAAAGAAGAAGTATTGAATCTTTCAGAATAAATGATTATATTATGTTGAAAATATAGAACTAGTTTGTGATAATTACTAAAGCAAAATAAAAAGTGATAAAAAATTGTTATTACGCATCAGATTTACTGTTGTTAAATGAAGCACATTAATGAATAATAAGCTTTTATTGTTCAAATTATATTAAAAATTGACACTAAATTTATTTGATGAGACTTTTATCTAGATTCATTTTTAAATTATTATACATTATAAAAATAAAAGCTGTTAGACTAATCCCTGTGGAATGAAAATATGAGATATGATGTAGATGCTGTTACTAATCGCAAAAGATTTCTTTATTATATCTATTTTCTAATACATTTTCTTCACCATCCGTTCCACAAATGCAAGNTTAAAAGTAGCAGTGAAGTATAAAGGTAGAAATTTGAACTCTCCATTCCCTCCACCATCCGTTCCAGAAATGCAATAAGGAAGTAGCTCATATATTACAATAAGACACTTTTGATTTACGGCGTTTAATCATATATCAATAACGTCTATCACGATTCGTGATGAACTGTAACTAACGATTGTCACGGCTGGTGGAGGGAATGGAGAGTTCAAATTTCTACCTTTATACTTCACTGCTACTTTTAAATTATGTTTCACAAAAAGTGTAGAATCATAAACCTTTACTATCCGTTTATATTCATTACATATAAACCCTTTTTAATTTTTGTATGTGTAATCTACTTATTACTAAATCTTGGCAAGAGTTTGTCACCGATTACAAATTCATAGAATTTTATACTGTTTTCTGTCTTCATAAAACATTATTTTTTTTTTCTTTTTGACATATGAATGGAATAAACTTTTAAGTGACGAGTTCATTATCGCACGTTTTAAACACAACTGCAGAATAATAAACTATTCACCTGAGTGTTTATTCCATTCATATATCCAAAAAGTATGTATGAACATAGAAACTAGTATAAGGGTAAATAAATTTGCAACGGGTCACAAGCAGTTACCAAAGTTTATGAAAGGGTATATTATACTTATAAACCTAGAAAGAGTTTATTTAAGGATAATAAATGAAAAGCGAGGGCTTGTTATTCTAAACGTTTTTTTTTCTACCATGTAATTGTGTATGACTCGTATCATTTGATTGAAAAAGAATCTAAGTGAAATTGGAACAAAAGTCTTTAGAAACAAGTAGAAGAGTTCTTTTTATGGTTACTTCGACATGATGGATACTTAATTTTTCCATCTATGTTTATGTTCAAGAAGATGATAAAATGTCGATAGGTTTTTTCTTTTAATAAAAATTAAATACTCTGTCAAATGTGTTAGATTAAATCTTAATTTTTTTTCTAAAGTTTTGTAATTCATTTAAGCTGATCAGATGTATCACTTTAGCATTGACTAAAACAAAGCAATAGATAATCACTATTTATGATAATACATTCAATCAGAATATAAAATCTATGTCAATTCATTTTTTTGCCATGTATCATGAAGAATAACCAAGAAAACTACTGTGTAACGTAAAGATCGTTAGATTCTAGAGAGATATTGACTGTATTCTACATAATAGAAGACCAAAATAAAAACGAATCTGATAAAATAATTGACTCGAATTGAAAATCAGACTAATGCTGATTATGAAACAAACGAACAGTTTCATGAAAACATTTTTCTTTTGTTTTCTCTGACTAAATATTTTCATTTAATGTTTCGTATATTATATATTACTTCAGTCATGAATCGTAATGTAGAAAAAAAAATATGAAGGTAGGATTTAGTAATTTTCATATAATATTAAATAGTGTATCTTTTGAAAAAAACAGTCATCAGTATTTTGCTATAGTAATACTAAACAATAACATTCTATAGTCAGAATAAAATTTTTAGATTTGCTGTATTGCTATATACGTGTATTATATGTTTACATCGTTGGTGAAAACTTAATCTTGTTTTATTGAAACGAAATCAATAATAGCTAATACAAGTTCGAAATAACATATGAGTTTTTCTTTTCAATGTAAATAGAAGTCTATTTTTATATTATAAATCTGCTAATTTGTTAATTGCATGACGTGATATTGTGTTGGGATTATACTAAATAAGAAGCTATCAGTAACGAATAGAATATAAAGAATGATCCTCTTAGTATTTCTTTAATAGATTAATGACATTTTCACTTATTTTTAGTCGTCTAAATATGTCAAGTAATCTTTTATCGTATGAAACAAATGGTTAATCTCATTGGCATAGGATTCATAATCATTTGTTTTTACTTTATTTACTTGACAGAACATTCGAAAACTGAAATTCACGTTATTTTTGTTTTCTTTAAATTTTAATCGGTTTATTACATGTACGATTTCATTTCATAAATCATACTCTGATGAATTTCAATCAAGATTATGAATAGAATAGTAGTCTTAAGACTATTTCACATCATTTATCGGTATAAACAATTGATTTTTGAATAACATAGATTTGAATCCACTTAAACTTACCATATACACGACGGGCTGTCTTATATTCTGCATTGAATCGGTGACAAAGCAAGATAACGTCAATTGGTGGATGCAAATTCATAGTAGTGCAAACCAATGCAAGAAATTATTTTTGAAAGTTGTGGCAATAAGACCAGTTATTTTAAATATTTTAACGCGAATAGAAATGAGTATTATTCCAGAGGGGAATCAGAATGATGAGTACGACAGCGTTCAGCACCAAAAAGTTGAGCACGCAAAAAAATTAAGAAAAATGTGACGCCTAATGAAATATCCATGAGTATATGTAGGCATGAATGTGTGGGTGAGTAAGCGTGTTGGTCTTCTGTTCATTCTCATTCTACGTTTAATCTTCATTTTTCTTGCATACGTAAATTTTCAATGCTGAACTTTTCTTGTGCTTGTCGTTGATGAATTCATTTTAGAGAATTGAATGGTCAATGTTTTATTTAAAAAAATTGCTTAAACAAGGGAAAATGTAATCGAGTCGTTACAGAAAAGTTAAGAGAATCATTCTTTACACGTCGCCTGTAATGAATCGTCTCTTAATTTTAAGTGCTCTCAAATATAAAAGCAAATTCAACAAAAAATGCCATATTGTTTGTTTTCTATAAGGGTGAAAAAAGAAGTCATTCAATTCATTTTCAACGTGATAATGTGATTATTAACTTTAATTTTTTGAGTTTGTCGAGTCATCATTAAACATATCCTTTTTTTCTCGTTGATACATTTTAATGCTTAGGATACCTGGGAAAAGTTTAGGTAGAAGAGATCTCAAAAATATATAGGGTATCTAGAAAGTATCTAAATAAAGAAAAATTTAAATATCTACGCCATATTTTGATCATATGAACTGATATTTTTATCACTGACAAAGTAGCGTTCATAACTCATATTCATAAGAGAAACATTGTTAAAAATCGTTTTAAAGTATTTACAACTGACTTCAAAAGAGATCACTAACACCGCATAAGTTATGAAAAGCTAATGTTCTAGTTTTGTCAACAAATTCTTGCTGTTTATGACTGAAANCACAGATTCATCAGACTTACTACCTAAGTGACCTCATTAGGGTATTAACTCTTATATAGATGTATGCACGGAAGTCTCTTCTATGTCACAGAGAAAACCACAGTTCGATATCATTTCGTGTTCGCGAGTTATTCAAGAACTAAAAGGCTTGAAAAAACCGTACTTTATAAAGTACGCTGGTATTTAAAGGGTTAAAGTCATTCTACGACTTTAAGATCAACTTATTCATCAAACAGGAGTACTTCTTTATATAATATCAGAGAAAAGGATAGCTTCATAACGTCGCAGATAAGATCTTAAAAATTGATTGAATATTTTTATTTATTAAATATTCTAGTAGATTCTACAAAGCAAGCTCTTTTTCGAAGAAAAATATTTTAATCGAAAGTGAAAATACTTTTCTATAAGATGCATGACTAAAAACTCCTTGTTCTTAGTAGATACTTAGTAATTGAGTGTTGCTTCAAGACAAACTATGATTTAGACAAAAGTAGAATAAAAGGAGTAAGATTCTAGCTGATAAAATATGTATTCATTTGTCATGAAGTCGAATCTGATTTAACTAGAGACAAGAAAAAAAAACAGTAACTATTGCAATTGAGTTGAACAATTAATCGAATCGTGGCAATTAACGATAATAGGAAAGCGATAATAGCATATAAACAATGATACATGTAACAAACCTATTTAGATTTCACTATCGAAAAATTCGAACCCTATTCTACATTGTTCTTCGAACTTAAATCGACTCAGAGAATAATACTGCTATATTTAATCTTCCTATTAGACCAACTTCTGTAAAATTAAGTCTTAGTCTTCAATTCAGTCTCAAAATTTTGTCGAAATTACATTTATCAGTTTTCTTTCCTCTTTTTTTTTATTTGATTGTCTTGAACAAGAATTTCGAAGAAAAATATTTAGTGTAAGTTTAAGTCGATGTATTTCTAGTTATCGCTCTACTTCCATCAAGTCGGAACATTCATCGGATTTCAACCTCTCAGTGTGTTTTCGGTTAAATTATATATCATTCGAAAGGACATGTTAGACTGAGGAAAAAACTAGTATTTTGAAATTTTTTAAAGACTTTTTTCAAGCGAGAAACTCTTTAAGATTTTGAAGGACGATTCTTTCGAAATATGCAACAAGCTTCTCTCTTTTTCTATTTCTTCAATTTTTTAAATCAATTTTTTTCGAAATCTACATTGGAAACTGAATCTGGAAATGATACTTAATTGTCTACTAAATAATTAGTCTATGAAGTTTTTATGATCAAAGATTGTGAATATAATCGAGTGTTACTTTTATGTCTAGTCGAATACAATCAGTATTCCATCAAATACAAAAACCAAATATCTTGTTTTATGAAATACTCATACATTATTAGAGATTTGCAACATTGGTGAAAACATTAGAACGTTGATACTGTCATCACTGGATGCGAGTGCGCATCTGTATGTCGTTCTTGTCTTCACTCACACTCTCATACAAATAAACTAAATCTAACAACATTATATTATGATTTGTACAAGGCACTAAGTTTACGTATTTCTTACAACACTGTAGAAGGCAAATTTGTGTTAATATTGCAATTCAAGAAGATTTTATTTCAGTTTTGTGTTTATATTTTTATTCATTTTGAACATTTCGCTATTATTGTCTTCTATATATCGATAATTCAATACAGTAGAAAAAGAATACTGAAAAAAAAAGTATGTTAGAAGCTCATCATCTGACAATGTCATGAAATTATCTTTTTTTCTTCACTTTATTAAATCGCCTTTAGTAGGCATGAATTTTCAAGATCTTTGAAGTATTCAAGAACACCAACGACAACTGTAGATAATTCTCTGTACTAAGCATAAAAAATAGGTATAATATGGACTGATGAACTAACGTTAGGTTCATTTCATATAACCCCCACGCATCTATTCTTAAAAGCATTACGAAGAACATTTTCATAGAGTCTTAATTATTTTGTAAATCATAGTGACCGTTTTCAATGTTAACTTTACAAAAGCATTGAACAATCAAAAGAAAATTCAATTCTAATAAGCCAATGTCTATTAAATATATTCGAATAAAAAATCAAACATCAATTTCAATCAAAAAATCTATGTATTTTAACCGATATTTTTCATATAACAGTTGAGCGACATCTTTCAATAACTCAAATTTAGCCTCTGATATTATTGAAAACAATGGAAGATATGAGATGGCGTATGCATTCAATTATGAATGTCATTTTTGAAGCGATCATTTATTTCATTGAATTATGAAAAGAAAAAAATACGTTTATTTCAACAGTATTACATCAATAAGAGCATTATCGATTCTTCAAAGAACATAGACGAAATTATTCTTTGAGGATAGCTGTCACCATCCATCGAGGTCAGCTCTTTTCTTTTTATTTTCTGTTTTTACACAGTAGTTGTTCCTTTTTAAGAAACGTGTGAATTTAATTTAAAAATTTATCAATCATATCTTGATTTGAAATAAACTTGTAAAAGAAAAGAAAAACATATAATTTTTTAGATATGGCTGAAGATAATATTCAATTACCGAATTATCTTTGCTTTAAACCATCGAAAGCTAAAATTGGACAGAACGGTATTCTTTTTAAAAAAATTCTATTATAGTTGATTGTTTTTTAAAAGCTTATTATTGTTTTTTTTTCTTAAGGCTTATATGCTACACGAACTTTAAAACCTAATGAACCATTAGGAATATATCGTGGAAAAATTCGTCGTATTTTACCTCAAACAGCTGATGAAGAATATGTTTGGGCAGTAAGTTTGATTTTATTTTAAAAATATTTATTTCTTGTTTTGTATTTAGATTTTAAGTGCTCGTGGTGTACCTATTTTTTATGTAGATGCAAGTAATCCAAATGATGGAAATTTTCTTCGTTTTATACGTTGGACACATGATAAATCTCAACAAAATGTTGTTTGTATGCAACAAAATCAACAAATTCATTATTTTTCATTAAAAGTAATTTAAAATTAGATTTTTGTAAATAATTATTTTTATATGTTTTTATTTTAGACAATTCATCCTGATGATGAATTATTAACATTTATTGAACGACAAAAATCAAAAAAGAAAGGTAAAACAAAACAAAACAAAAAAAAAAAGGAATTCTATAAGCAAAAAAAAAAAGAATGATCAATATTTTGATTTGTTAAATAAGATAAAAGAGAAAATGGTCGAACACGTCGTGAAACTCGACAACAACAAACAACTGAACATCAAGATAATCCAGCAATAAAAATTCTTGAACAAGAACCAGGAAATGAATTTATTGATGATGATAATGTACATTTAGTTATGAATAATCGTTCATTAGAATTTGAATTACAAATAACAAAAAAATTTTTATCCGAAACATATATTAGTGATGGTGTTAAACAAACTTGTCTTAAATGTGATATTTGTCATCAAAGTAAACATTTTCTTTTTTTGTTTTTAAATTTCATCGTTTTTTTTTCTCGTTTTATAGTTTTTATGTCAAACGTTGCATTTAAAGTAATTATATATTTTTATCATAGCGACAGAAAATATACTCAGAATGACGATTTATTTAGATTGTTGATAGTTAACTGTTTCTATTGAAAAATTGATTTTGTGGTTTCTTTCTTGATATGTCAAATCTGACAACTTATTCAGATAATATTTTCTTTGATAACTTGAATCAATGATATACATAGTCATGAATAGTTTTCTTCATATCTATAGGCATTAGTTTTCAAATATAAAAGCTGTTATTTTCGACATGTTAAAATGAGTTAATCAAGCAATAAAGTTTCAATTTTTTTGATAGTACTAGAGATGCAACGGTGAACCGGCGAAACGATAACAGGTCTAACGGTGAAAGCCGGTAAACATCTTAAAATCTACGGTGAAGACCGGTATATTAGTGAATCCATATGCCTTTGGAATATGGCACCAAAAAATTGGTCTTCACCTTAGGTTGTAAGGTGTTTACCGGCTTTCACCGTTAGACCGGTGATCGTCACCGTTGCATTCCTAGATAGTACTGAAATTCAAACATTTGAAAAACTTAAAAATGCTCTGAAAAAAACTTTGGATAGAGACTTTCTAATCTCAGGCGTTCTTTAAAAAACGTAATATTTAATTTGGTCTCGATTTGAACGTTTTTTAAACTACAATGCATGAAGTAAAAGTCGATAGCCTTTTTTCTGTCATATCGTTAACGCTCGCTGATTTTTTCTATGTATCTACAGTAACTTAACATACATGTGACAATTTAGAAAATTAGCTCTAGGAAAGTTTCTTATCCCGAAATATGCGCAATTTAATTTTCCAAAATCTCATTGCCAAAAAAGAATTTTGATTCGATAGATTTTGGGATAATTGTTACATTAAATTAATATCTATCATTAAAAAAATATTATTTATTTAGTTTCATTATCATACGTATCATATAACACCACAATATTTATCTCCAGCTAATCGTCCACGTACAAAAGTTCGAGATAATTGTAATATATGTCGATATTCTTTCATTGCGAATGATGTTAAAAGTGTTGTTGTCGATTTACTTGAAGGTAAAATGTTTTTCTATCTAAATTAGATTTTTTTATGAAAAAGATTGTTTTTATAAAGTTGTTTCGGGTGGTGAACGTTTACAAGAAAATCGTTATCTTCGTTTACATATATATCGTTGTCATTGGTGTGCACCAATTGATGCACATTATAATACGGCTAAACAATTATCTCAACATGTACGTTCAAAACATTATCGTTTATTACAAGCACTACTTGCTACACAAGCAAATATGCTTCAAAATAATTCAAATCAAACTCGAGGAAAAAAATCTCGTGATAATGAACAAGATGAAAGTAAACGAAAAAAGTCTCTTAAAAATTTTATTAATATGTTTTATTTAGATAATTTAAATTCAAATTTTTCATCAACATTAAATCAAGATCGTAATCGTTATTCAACAAATTTTCTTCAATCAAATAATAATCAAGAATCATCACCTCGTTTACCAATACCAATTGGTTTACCTGATCCTTTAACAGGTAAAAACAACTGTCAAATATTAAACAAAACATAAAAATTCTTCTAATATAGATCGTGATTGTCAATTACTATTTACAATTGGTGAACATAATTCATATAATATTTTGAATTGTATTGATGGTACATTAGAAGATATTAAACAAAATGAAACATTATGTCGTCAACAGATGGACGATGAAAATGAAAATAATAAATTAACATCTGTTGAACATTTCTTAACACAATATCCACTTGTAAGAGATTTATTAGGACCAAGACGTCGACATGATATTGTTATACAACATTTATCGGATGATTATTTTGATCATCCAAAAAATCAAAATATTGATATGAGTAAATATTATCAAAGACAAAAGTCTATACCGGAAAGACGTTTTATTATGAATCGATATTCATGTTTATTATGTACGGAACGTTTTTCATCACCAATTCAACTTATTGACCATGAAAAACTAATACATGAAAAAAATATATCGAAATATGATTGGGGATGGAATTCAGTTGGATTTCTTCAATCAAATCCTTATGCTTTTATATTAGAATTAGAAAATGAATTAAACCAACAACAACAAAGAACAAAAAATGAATCACAAAGTTTTTTAATGACCAGTAATAGTTTAAGAAAAAAGGTAATTTTAATTTAAATAAAACTCATAATTCAAAATGAACAAGGAAAGTTCTTCAACTGATTCATTATTTTCAGTCCGAACTATGTCTTATGGTTGCCTTGAAGAAATTTCTCAATTAGAGGAGAGAGTTCCTCCAAATGTCGGACTTTCTGCTAATTTTTTACAGCTCGTGGTAGTAAGTGAAATAAAAATATGCAGACTATGCCGTTGCGAGATGAATAGGATTGAGACAAGTCCTGGGAGGGAGGACGATCTGGTGGCTGATCGTCTGTCGTCTGATGAGCTGTGTTAGAGTGGGTTTCTGTCTTCCGTCCTGTTCAATATGTTGACTACTTGGATGAAAGGATATTTGAAGTAAACTTTCGGACTTTGTCGAATTTTTAGGCTTCCCATTCCTAAAAAATATCGACAATCCTGATTCAAACGCTTGTAAAGATACTGCGTTTTTATCGTATTTTTCTATTCAATATAGTGGTCCCACTCAGGAACACAATAATAAGTGATTTTCAAATTTTGACTTGGAGCTTTACACAGAGACACGCCTAAATAAGAATAGTTTATTACGAAAGATTCAAATGTTTTAATTTGCTTCTATATACAAAACACGACTTTGATAAAAGCATGCTTTTGACAGCGCTGATATACACTTGACATATTCAAGGCTCTTATTTCGGATAGAAGCAGGCCAAAAGGACTGAAACTATTCTCGTTCGATCCTGTCTCTGTTCAAAATGTCAAATTGAAATTCAAATATAAGTTTTTCTGAGTGGAACTGCAGCATTGGAGTTAAAACGACGGCATGACCGCAGTATCTTGACTCAAAAGCAATTAATCAGTTGAGGGACTTCCCTCGTAGGATGTGACTTTAATTTAGAAATTATGCGTTCAACTTGTTTTCATAAACAAAGAAAAAAAATTGTCCGAAAATATATATTATAAAATAACCGATAGATTTCATTTATGTATCTACTTACAAAAAATCACATATTTCAAAAAATGAAACTGAAATTTTAATTGAATACTCTTCGTAATTTTTTCATAGTCAATTCGACAACGTTCTACTTCATCAAACGATCGATCACCAGCAGTTAATCAAGAAGGTAATCTAAATTTGTGAACTATATTAATCTCTCATTTAAATAATTCATCTAGATATAAAACCAATACTTTCAAAACTTTCAAAACGTATTAAACGAGAAATTCATCGATCCAATACATGTCCTATTTTAAACAATAATAATTCACCTGAAAAAGATGAATCGAAATTTATTCAACGTAAATCGAAACGGTTACGTAAATCAAATCTAAATTCACCAACAGATTCACCAAAACATACATCAGAAAAAATTATTGTAAAAAAAGAACCAACTAATTCCACAAAATCTTCAATTCTATCATCATCAACAAAAGACACTACTAATCCTAATCAAATTATTGTTAAAACCGATAAACGTTATTATTGGTGTACAAAATGTTCAAAAGTATATCTTAATTTAATATCACTTTATACTGAATCTCATTATCGTCAATGCGTTGGAGAAGATCAACATTTTAATGTTATACATGATCCATCATTTTTTACTGATGATAAAATTCTTCAACAATTACCATCAAATATTAATAATCAAAAATCTGCATTAGATTCAAATGAATCATCAATGGATACAATTAAAAAAGAATCAATATTTTTTTCTAAAACAACTGATGATACACGAACATATTTTATAAATGGTAAACCAATACGTATGAATACAATTAATCGACCAATCACAGTTAAAGATCTTCGACAACAATTTCAACAACAAATATCACTTACAACAAATAATCCAAGTGAAGAATATATTTATCAACAGCGACAATCACCAACAAAATCAACAACAAATCGTTCGTCACGTTCAAATGAAAATAAAAATTGGACTAATGAATCTATTGTCAAAACTATTCCAACACCACGTTCATTTGATACATTTGGTATTAGTTCAGATGATGATGATGGTGATGATGATGAAAAAGATAATAAATTAAATACTAAACAAGAAATTGAAAAAACACTTATTAAACGAAGACATGATTCAGATTATGCATCATCAAATAATACAATAATATCTGTTGGACAAGATAATACAGATAGTCATAAACAATCAAAACAATTTATGTCAAGAAAAAGTCAACCGGTATCAACTGGACGAGTAAACAAATAAAAATTTCTTTTTTATTTTGAATGAAAGATTTTTACTTCTTGTCAGAGAAACAAATTGTTAAACAAGACGAAGGAAAACAGTTTAATAACAATGTATTTTTGATCTTTGTTTTCTATAATTTTAACGAATTAGTTCAAATTCAGATAGTGATTTTAATAGCCAATGAAGTTTTCTTTTACCAAGATTCCGTAAATGAAATATATTGGGAAGATTTATAAAAAAACCCAATTAAGGTAGTTTTCAAGTCTCAAAACACTTCGCTGGACTTATTTTTTAAGAATGCCATTCTAAAGATCATAGTTGAAAAGAATCCTTTTTTACAGTATTTTTGAGCGATGATCCCTCATTTTGCGCTCTTTAAAATTAGATTGTAATAAAATGTCTCTAACAAAGTCTTATGGGATCGGAAAACTACTGCGTCTCGTTTTTTATAAACCTTACTATCATAGTTAATCTATGCAACCTCAGCAAAAGAAAACTTCATTGGCTATTAAAATCATTATGTGGGATTGAACTAATTGCTTTACGTTATAAAAAATACGTTTTTATTGAGCTATTTTCTACCACCTTACATACAATAGTCGCATAAAGTTCTGCTATAAAGTAAATAGTACTGAAATTTGAATCTTGTCCCTTTTGTGATTCACCATTATTTTGAAGTATTAGTATCCGTTCTTTCGTTGATAAATAAAGCTTCACGTGTCATTACTGTGTAAAGATAGGCGACCCCAATATGTTTTATCTTGTCAGGTGCGGCGACGTTTCTATCATTTGACACCCTCTTTGCGAAAATCTCAACTTCACCAATGGCCATAAACTTGAAATGCTGAAATATCCTCGTCGAAATAAAAGAATCTTTATTGACTTTCTAGCTCTTTTGCACGAAGACCGATCAATAGCGGGACTATTAATAACTATTGTGGCAGAATTTTAAAATATTTTATATATAAAACTGCTCAGTCATGGTCAGTGGAAATCTCACTAGTCATATCTGCTTAAAAAATGAAAGAATATTTTGAAAATAAGGATGAAAAGTTTCTATATGATGTTATTATTATTACTTATATTCTTTTGTTTTTATTAGTCTTCTAATTCAACAACTGGACAATCACGATCAAATACTTCTCTAAAACGATCTTTATCTCAAACGCATCATGACATTAAACCATCATCATCTACACGACATTCACGGAAACAAACTGAAGATATTGATCAATCAATGGAATGGTTAATACATCTTTTATATTATTAATATATATATATATATTAACTTATTTGTTTTCTTATCTTTAGTTCGAAAGCTTCATCAGCATCAACAAATCGTACTCATATTCCGGATGCATTACAAGATTATGATCATGTATGTGCTAAATGTAATATGCCATTTAATAGTCAATCATCACTTGATGAACATCAAAATGGACAGTAAGTATTTGTTAACATAAATCATGCTACAATCTAGGACAAAATTAGTCACCTATTATGAGATTGAAACGATATTTTTCATGCCTATGCGTGACAATAAACCCTGATCAGAAGCACCAATCCGCTCGTCATCAATGCACATTTACTGCAGTTATGATTCATACATCACCCGTACTTTGTGGAAAAGGATCTTCCGAGGAAATATGCACACAAAAAATTTTTGTTTGTCATTTTACTATTCCACAGCACTAAAGTCCATAACACATGATCAAGATCTTAGCAATTAATACACTCTAAAACAGTGAATCCTTGTCGTAGCAATAAATTGAATTCATTTAATGTTGCGACTGTAAACAATTTTAGATCAGACTTGTCATCTAATCAGAACTCTCAAATGAATTGGTTGAAGTCATCATGAAAAAGACACATCGTAATGGAAAAAAAACAGAGCTTACTATTCATTATCTCATTTATTCTAAAGTAACGTCAAACAAATCTCGAACTAGAAATAGCTACAACAGTGGCCCTTCGAAGGACAGATTCGACAAAAATATTTATGTCACCGTGGTACGTTTGTTGATCAAGGTGTATTATCCCACTCATGTACTGAAAATATCAGCTCAATAGAATTAAAAATAGTAGTACTTCATGAGGAGGCGTAGCTACTTTTATATAGAACTGTATATATGTTGTCTATTGTGAATATTTGTTTTTCGTATAGATGTTTGGAAATGAATGTTCTTGCATCATGTGGTTCATGGTTTTGTTGCCCATTATGTTCATTAACCTATTGTGATGCTAATCTTATGTCACTACATATAAATAAGACACATCGTGATGTACTTAAAAGTAATCAACGAGCTAGTTCTCAACGTCGATCAAATAATAATCGTAATAGTCACACATTGACAACATCACGATCTGAACATCATCATCTTCGTAAATTTTCCTAAAACAAAAAAAAATACATTCATGTTTCTTTTTTTGTGCTTGTTCTCTGTCAGTTTCATTTCTTCTTCGATTGTTCCTTTTACGTCGTCGAAAATATATAAAGTCAAAAAAAAAATATATATATATTATTTGCTTACGGATTTGACGTAATCAATAAACTTGATACATAACATGTAGGTGAAGCTAGCAACATATTTGCGCCTACCAGCACCGATTCGCTGAAAATGTATTCCACGTGTCTTATAGTTCAGACTATTGTTGCGAGAATTTCTTTATGACGGCAGCATACTGTTTAAGACAATTTTGCTTAGTTGTATCCGTTGAAAATAGATTTTGGTAGTCTTTCTAGGAAATCTTTTTCCTTGAACAGTATCTAGAATACTATTGCAAAATACTTTTTTTTTTCGATGGTTTATCTATAACTAGCTATGGAAGAGCTACGATTAATGATTGTCGTTAGTAACGAAGGTAAAAATATCGTATCAGTTCCCACAATCTTTTGAACTTTAGCATATGAAGAATAGTGTGTATCAATTGAACCACTGTGTCTATAGTGCCAGATATCATTATTCAGATAGTTTTCAAATAGATTTTGTAGTCTTGTCACCAACGTGAGTTCTGCAAGAACTATATGAAAACCTTATTACAAACTCTCTTCTACTTTGTTTCGACTATATACGAAATAATTTGAATTGAAATATTTGAATATGCAAAATGCGAGATATTAATTGTGAATACTTAGATGAACAAAAGAATAGTTCTAACACGTTGAAGATCATGAAAGTTCACACTCACAGAAAATATTTCGTCAGTGATTGAATCAATGACAGCCGGATATACAATGTCTACCAGACTAAACGGTGGAAGACTGAGTATGAAATATGTTGGTTTAATGATCACTTCTCTGTTACATACTAATACCATTCGATAGATCATATCGAATTCTATCTGGAACACAACCTGAGTTAATCCAGTGCTGAAACTACTCAAATCGGCTGCTAACATCACCTACGTCAGTCAATATGGAAACCTAATCATATCTGTTTATCGCAAAGATGTAGCTGAGCCTTATGTTGCACTATTCAAGTCGGATCGCTCCCATCACATATTTAAGAATATGATTAGAGGTGTTTTTTTTTGCTCGAGAATTCCATTATTCATCAACATTGAAGGAATATAATCGTAAATGACTAGCTATCGAGTTAATGTTGCTCTATATTGAGTTTATAATCAATACTTATATAGAATAATTATCGATTCTCTGAACTTTAGTAGAAAGAAAAATGTCGAAATTTATAAAATAAAATTGTTCCAAGATATGCTTCCCAAATATTATTCATAAACATGTCATCGCAAGTTCATTTTAATTGAATTGTGTTCGGTTAAATTTGTGTACATCTGATCTTCTTACTGGTCTGTCTTTCATCGTGGTGAAGAAGAAACGATGCGCCCAAAATGTTGATTAACTTGTTCAATTGACTTATCGAAAATTTTTTGCTTGTCTTTGATCCATGTCTTATTAAATAATAAAACTCATTTACACTAAACTGTTGATTATTTTATATGCTCAGTAAAAGAATTTAAATGTCTTTTGATATTTTTTGTTCTCCAATATTTTTACTTTCGACGTTTTTATACTTCGACATATGTATCTTTCGACGTTTGTATCGGTTTTTTTTTCGATCAAAGTCCAGATTATTCACTTTTCCATCTCAATCGCACTCTACATTAACACCATCAACACACAAAAAACAAGAAAATTCAAGTGCAAGATCTAGAGCAAAAATTAGATAGGATTCAAGCAGAGTTAGGAAAATTAACAAAAATAGCAACACAATTAGCAGAATGAAGACATAACAGATAACTAACATTACCGCCTATACAAATAAACAGAACACAAGAACAAATACAATGCTAATCACTACCAATACTACCGTACCAACAGTCACCATCAGTGGTGTGGTACCCACAAATGTACTGCTAGCCACAACCATACTACCAATTACCGCCAGTACCATGTTACCAACAACCATCAATACAATACATACAGTACAACTACCAGCCACAACAACAATTCTTTTAGAAAATGTTCGTCTCTTCAGGAATAACATTTTGATTGAACATCCCATTCAGAAGATATTAGACATGAATTTATTTTATAAAAAGTACTTCTTTAATATAGATCCTTATATCGGCAAAGTGAATCCAAAATGTAGACATTAATAAACCAAGTGCAATTGACTGAATATGATCAACCAGCAGTTCCACTCTGCTGTTCCTTTGATTGGAATGCTCACGTGGAGGGCAACTGTCTGTGTAAGTGAATGTCACGATGGATCCAGAGAAAACACTATCCAGGATGTGGGTGAGCGTGCATGTGGTGTATATGTGTCGGTGTGGGTAATGTATGCCTGGTCCCAGAGACGAGTAAGATCTACACCCAGCCACCCCTCTATAGATTGCCTGAATTCTTGATTAGCATTCAATTCAGAATCATGATCTATAAAAAGAATGATTACAGAGAACAGGTACAACTAGTTACTAATAAACTCACCTTTCACGGTAACCTGACATGTAATCGATTTTCTTCTGGGATTGATCGGTTAAGCAGTAGTTGAAATGGTTGCTTTTCTACTAAAAGGATTGAATTCTTTCAGATAGTCATCATTCAAAGTAACAAAACCAGCTGATGGATCCTCGATTTCCGTATTGATTAAAAGCTTCAAATTGTTAAACATGCCAAGAATAAATTGTTTGATATTTTCCACTTTTTTATATTTTCATTGAATTCCTTTGTGGAATAAGTACATGTTGAACCACATCGGTTGCCGAGAACAACAAACTTTGTTTGAACTCGCATGATATATTGCTACCTTACTCTTCTCGTCGTTTGAAATGAGTGAAGTAATCACGAATATTTCACATAAAATGAGATAGAACAACGATGGATAGCTTCTTCTCATCGTAATGGAGGAGGTCGGAAAAATCAAACATGTTTTTTCTTGCATATAAGCAAGAACGCAAAAAAAAGAGAAAAAAGAGCTTTACTTGTAGGAAAAAAGAAAAAGAATAATCAACCTCGTATTTTTCTCTTACTTTTTTGGCATGTGGTAGAAGCAACAACAAAAATACAGAACGAAAAATAATTCCGACACGTGTAAAAAGCGTCGGAAGATTGAAACCGATTTTTTTCGACTCCTTTTGTTGTAATGCTTCATCTAATATTTTCAAGTAAATAAAAATAACACTAAATAACGCTTACATCTCTATCAAAACAATTAAATCTATCTCACCTCATGTACTATGGAATATTTATTGTTAAAAGTAAAATTCTGACGAAGAAAAAGATCCATATAACTTTTTCGACACTGACTCGTTAGAATATATATGAAAAGAAATGTTTCATTCGATGAATGACGTTGTACAACATTTAATGTCGAGTCAATCACAAATTCTATGAGTTCATTTTTAATTGAGATATGTCTTTAAATTCTGTGTAATAGAATGTTGAATAATCATTTGATATTAGCCGAGATACTTTTGAAACTCTAACCTACGATAAATGTTTGAAGGACGCGTTTGTAGTAAATAATGAATATTTTGATCGGAACTATTTCAATTCGGAACCAACCGAGTTGGCCACCGTCATTAATAAACTAATTAATTATAATGAAGTAGTAAATATAGAATGGATTGTATTTGAACGGTGGTTTTCGATTAAAAAAGTTACTCGGTGATATTGGAATTGACGAAAATGAATATTACCTTGAATAATAGCAATATTTTTGTTTCTTTTTTTGTAGTTTCCTTATGCATTTTGAATTTCAAGCTAATATCATTTTCGAAAAATTTATGGTTCATGTACAATTTTAATCATGGTATTATCGCTAGATTTAATTTCGTGATCCATGAATTTATTATTTCCTGTTGTTTTCTAGACTTGAAGTTGTAACGAGCAAGTGGCTATAATTTGTTAAGAAAGAATTAAAAAAGAAAATATGAAACAATAAAAAGAATTCTTAAAAAGAAAAAAAACACACAAGAACATCCTTATAAACTTTGCTTGTGTCTTGGTATTATCATAGTTCTCTTCCGGAATTCACCATCATTGAAATCATATTTTATGATAATAAAGGGAAAACTGCTGAGGAAAATCAAATAGACTTTGTCAATGTCTTTATTTCGGTACATAAATGTTTGTTTCGGTTATAAACTAATTCAGTAAGTCGAAAAATGACTCGAAGCTAGAATTATCTTCTGGAGATTCGCCCATTTGCGACCAACCGTCCAAACTGTCGATACCCGATGTAAAATTCTCCAAAATTAGATCACCAAGATAGTTAGCATCTGTGGAAACCATTGGAGTGTTGTAATCACTAGCACTAGACAGCAGAGAATTAGCATTTTGCACGAGATTATTCATGTTCGTGTTTTGACCATAGCCAAACATAGCCAATTGATCATTAGTTTCATCAATTGAACTTCGAAGTAAGAGTGTGTTTGCAGGCCATTGGAGCTCATTCTAAAGCAAAGAAATCAACCTACATCAAATGATATAAATAAAAACAAATAAAAAAATATTAATTTTTTCCTAAATTGTCACCTTCGATGTAAATACAAAATTATTTCATGCATGCGAAAAACTAAATTCTTTTCATAACAATACTCAGAATATTTCCTATGACTTACGAAGAGATGTACGAAGTCGGCTTGTGAACTGTGTGACACTGATTGAGGCATCATATCCATAACTTGAGTAGTATTATAATATACAGGGAGAGCCTGATTGACATGCAAATTAGAACTATTATTGTTTGTCGATGGATATGCTATTGATAAATGATCTTGTCCTTTTTGTATTTTCGTTTTTCTGGGTTGTTTATTTGAATTAGTTTCTAAAATATACCGCTTTTGTAATAATCAGAAACACAAAAAGATAACATACGACGTTTCTTCGGCTTATTTTGTCCTGATGCAATTGTTTTCATACTTGTTGGATTAATCAAAAGATTGGTTACTTTTGATGCACCAGTTCTCTCTAAATATTGAGAAGAATATTTTTTTATATGGAATAATATCAATTATAATTACCTGGAAAAATCATTGGATCCGATAGAACCAAAGTCTCCCATTGGATATCATTATCTTTTCTAAGAACGAGAGCTATATGACATGATTCACTATTATCGATTGATGATTTTGACGATTTGCTTTCATTGTTATATTTGAGTTCACATAAAATACGTACGGGTACATTAGAATATACTTTTGCTTCTTTGATTGTCACAATTGTTAATTTGAGTCTATGAATAATAAAAGTAATAAATTCAATTTAGAAAGAGTGAATTTGATTTACTTGGCTCCTCTACTACTTGTCCAATCCTTGCCTTCAATAGGTGTTTCACAATGATCGAATGTTTTCTCTACATTATTCTCTTTGACAAAAGCTCGTATTGGATGATAGAAGAGTCTGCTTTTTCCCGACTGTCGCACATGCAATACAATGAAAGCAAGTAAACTCCAGGTAATATCAGGTATTCTGTTTTGAATTTCACCATGCCAAATCTATGCATATAAAAAGTAAGCATAGTTTACATCTATATTCAGTTTAAAAACAAAATATTTACTCTCAACCGCGGCAATACACCTGCTTTGCTACTTGGATCTTTTTTGCCTTGGATCTTAACAAGTGGACGTCGCCTTGCATCACTAAGATACTGATCTCGTTGCGTTTCATTGACATTATAATCTTGAACAAAACCCATTTTCGGATCATTAAATAATTCAATCGAATGTGGTGCTGTTGATTCTGGAACTGATGCAGATTCGCGAGCTGGTTGCATAGGTTCATTTTCTCGAACGCCAACTTCTACAACTAATGAGATGAAATGATAAATTAAGACGCACAACTGTTTGCATGAAAACAAACCTTCTTTAGATTGCCTGGATTCTTGAGTGGTATTTAATTCAGAATCATGATCTATAAAAAGAATGATTACAGAGAACAGGTACAACTAGTTACTAATAAACTTACCTTTCACGGTAATCTGCACTGTAACCAATTTTTCTTTTGGATTGATCGGTTGAGCAGTAATTGATCTTTTTGCTTTTCTACTGAAAGGTTTGAATTCTTTCAGATACTCATCATTCAAAGTAACAAAACCAGCTGATGGATCCTCGATTTTCATATCGATTAAAAGCTTCAAATTGTTAAACATGCCAAGAATAAATTGTTTGATATTTTCCACTTTTGTATTTTTATTGAATTTCATTGTGGTATAAGTACATGTTGAACGATTTCGGTTGTCGAGAACAACTAATTTTGTTTGAACTTGCATGATATATTGCTACCCTTACTCTTCTCGTCGTTTGAAATGAGTGAAGTAATCACGAATATTTCACATAAAATGAGATAGAACAATGATGGATAGCTTCTTCTCATCGTAATGGAGGAGGTCGGAAAAATCAAACATGTTTTTTCTTGCATATAAGCAAGAACGCAAAAAAAAGAGAAAAAAGAGCTTTACTTGTAGGAAAAAAGAAAAAGAATAA